TGCCTGGGACGGCGAACTGCGGCCAGTGGGAGCAGCGATCGGCCGAACATGTGGATGCTACAGATAAACAAACCATCCTGGCCCACCAGTGGCTTTCCCTGATGGGCTGCGTGCCAAAGATTGCTGATCCCTGTTCTATAGTCTTTTTGAACAGGCCTGCAGAGAGAGAGCCACTGCTAACATAATGCTTCTCCATTGCTTCTCTGTCCATGTTACTTTCTTAATCCCTTCTAAGTAGAGATGGTCAAAAATTGGTAGAAAAAATTGTTTAGAACTTTAAAATCATTGTCATTCTTCAGAAAAAAAATTATTTATTATTTATTTAAATTTAAAAAAATATTATTTTTTGGTTTTGAGATTTTCAAGTTTTAGTTTTTGCCCTCTTTCTCTTCTTCCCTCCCCCCTTTCCTCACTGAAAAAGGGGGTAAAAAGGAAAAAAAAAATCCAAAAAACCTTCCACTTTTTTTTCCAGCCATTTTTGGACAAAAAAATGTGCATTCAAAAATATTTCAGGCAGCTTTACTTCTAAGCTTCTCACAGTCATCTGAAATTGTCTGCTTATCAGGCTTACAGCTTTGGAAAACACTCTCTTTGGACATGAAGAAAAGAACTGGGGCCAGAGTTTGAAATCAAATTACCATTCAGCCTCCTCTTTCATAATCCATTATTTACAATAAATTAAAGTTCAGTATATTTAAATCCTGTATAATTTCAATGCAAAGAACAGTCAATGTGGAATTCTTTAGATTTATACATACACTTGATAACTTGATGACCATTAACAATATTTGTAGCTATCCAAGCTAAAATCATGATAGGGTCATCAAATCTAATGTTTCAGGGTAAAAGCTGAATGAGGGTCAAGAAGGAATTTTTTTCCATGTACTGCATTGCACAACTTCACTGGGGCCTGGATTCAAAGGCTATTAAAATTCAATGGAAAGACTCTAGCTGAGTTCTAGCTGGGCTTTGGCGCAAACCCGAGGTGAACTATAGGTTTCCCTCTTCCCCCGGCCCCCCCCCCCAAGGCATCAGGCATGTGACTATTACCAGATGCTGAACAACAGACTAAGTCCTCAATCCTGCAACTGGATTTACCCTGGTGGATCTCATTGCAGGACTGAGGATGAAATAAAGTAACATTCTGATGTGGCATTGCAAAAACTTTGTAACAGTCCATGCAAAATGCATTTTAAGTATAAAATTAGTATAGGAAGTAATCTTTTAATTGGTAAAAGTCTAATAATTCTTCTCTTCAAAAGGAACAGAAATACACTTTGCACAGATAGTAAAGAACTGCTTAAGAATTAAGAGGTGCCCAAGAGTATAGAAGTTAACTAGTTAGTAAAATATTTATAGAACTCTGTGGATTAAATTTCTTCTCCAGGAGATTTCACAGAACTGCAGCAGTAATTTTCTATCTCCTGAAATGAAAAGGAAAGTCCAACAGCGCACTTTCATTTAACAGGTATTTAAACAAATTAATTTTACCTGAGAAATTATAGATCATAAAGACTTAAATCAACATTCCTTTCCCACATGAGAATAAACTATACTGGTATAAACAATGTTATACCAGTATAACCGTGGATGGGAGAGGATTAGCATTTTAACTATACCCGCATAGTTAAAACGGTGAAGCTTTTGTGTGTAGACAAGCCCTGAGAGTGTTAAAGATGAGAGAGTGTGGATGAACCCATGGGTACAAGAGGATACTAGTGTTATAAGACATGAGGGTTTTGAATTCTTCTCTCTGATGATTCCTTTGATATTGGGTTAGGGATGCAGAACCCATGGAAGTGCATGATTGTATTAATGTTCCTCTCTTTCTGGCCACAGTAGAAGCCCAGTTATTGGAGGGGAGACAATGGTGGAGTAATATGTTGGATCTGGTTTTTAGATTGGGATTGGAGATTAAACAATTGGAATTTAAACCTGTGCCATGGGTTAACCATTTTGAATGAGTCTCTCAACAGGTACTGTACAAAACAGCACATGTACATTCATGCATCTTTACTTTGCTGGTTCAAATGCCTGTGTTGGCATTATCAATAGTCTGACACCTGTTACAATCTGCATCCTCAAAACGTGTTGGGGCCAATTGTTTTTGAAGACATACGGTGAAATCTGGCCCCTTTGAAGTCATTGGCAAAAATCTCATTTACAAATTTCTTCCCATTCGGGATTTCACCCAGATATTAAAAATCTTTCTTATGTGCAAGTGTTGTTCTAGTGAAAGTAGACCACAGACACAGACATTTTTAAGCATACACACAGGTGCTTGCTAAGTCCTGGTGCATGTACTTGCATGTGCACAAATGGAAGCCAGGCTTTTAAAGCATATCCCTCAGTTAAAGTCTCTCCTCTCTGTGGGACTTCCTGGGACTGGAAAGTCCTCTTCACTGTCAGACCCTTGATAAAGCGTGTTGCAGATTTTATTTATTTTGAAAAAAACCTGATGGTTTGCTTATCAGCAGGTGACAGAGGTAGGGGTGTGGTGAAAGAGATTGGAGAAAAAATGCATCCTCAACCAGATGTAGCCCCACAGAGGACACAACACTGTTCTCCTAAATTAAATTTTTCATTTTAAATTGTGTGGCTTTCAATGTTCTCTCATTGTGTCTGCCCTACTTTGAAAGTTTATTTTCTATTTTAAAAGAAAGCTCCCAATTTAGGGTTATATTTTCTTTTGGACGTGGAATTCCCATTAGTGCTAATGAGACTTATGTGCAGGCACCATGGGATGAATCATGTCCCTTAGCTTATTTAATAAAAAGTGAAAGTTGAAAGGAATTGCAGCTGTGCTATTTGAAAGCCTTTACTCTTGTGGTTTAATCTTTCACTGGAACCCCTCAGTGGTTTTATAGCTTTATTGCATACAAATGAACATTATTCTACTGCACTTCCTTTAGGGAATGGGGATAATCAATTCAGTTTATTTAGTAGAAAAGAGAGAGATGATTGCTTGCTTTGCAATGCAGAAACTACAACATCTACCCTCCATTTCCCTTTGATGTGGCTGAAATCAGACAGGAGATTTGAATGGGTCACTGTCTTTATCCACTTCTGAGAACAAAGAAACACGTGTTGTGAGGGTTACAGTTCCACAAGTCATCCTTCTTTTCACCTTAAGCCATCCGCAATCCTTCTTCAAGCTGCCTCAGTTTGTTTTCTTGTGCCCAGAGGCAATATTCTACTTCTACTATCCATGAAAACAATATCTATTAAAGTTGTTTTAAATAAATCAAGGTCAAGATTATTTCTGTGTTATCTGTATCCCAACAACTTCTGGACAAAACTACTTTTTCCACTCTTTATACTTCTCAATGTTGTTATGAGTGCTTCAAGTTTTCATAACTTAAAATCAGAATGTTTAAGAACATTGTGGTTGGAAACAGAAAAGGGAGATGGGATAAAATGAAGTTCTACCTGAACTTTTGACCAAAGTCAAAAATCAAACCTGCACTGAACCTCTTCCAAAGTTAAATTTAAATGAATAATGATAGGTAAGAGAAAAGTTAATGTGTTTCTCCAATCGTTGGCTCTGCAAAGGTGCCAACCTTTGACATGTAATATAAATTCCACACTCATGTACAAGGCGTCAACTTGGAACTCGCAGAAGATAGGATCCCTGCCACAGCATTCATCATTATTGTATCTATTGATAAGTAAAAGCTTCTGCAAAGTTACCCTTTAACTTAACCAACTATTAGAATAATACTGGGGTATTTTACCGTGGAACTATACAGCAGATTTAATCATACATGCCTGATGTATGTCATGTGTCTTGGAAAATGAACTGGGTGGTAGACCCTGAGCCAGGGACTGAAAGGAAAAGGGTACTTTAGGGAAATCAGCCTAAGAACTCAGGACTGTACATGCAAGCTAGGAATGACATGAGGCACAAAGCTTAGAAAGGAACTGGAAACAGGTCCCGGAGGCTGGTCTGAAAAGAATCCCTGAAGGATAGAGAGACCTTTTGTTTGTTTGTGACTCTTTATTTTGGACTCAGTACTCAGAAGAGGTTATGTTTGTTGTGATTTGGCCACAGGGCTAAGCCACATCTCCAGTCTGTGCGAAGCTGAGGAGACCAACCTTGGGGAAGAAAACTGAGGAAAGGAGAGTCACCCACTCTTGACCAAAAGTGGATGATATGGGGCAGCCATGCCCCTATGACTGGGGCCATACAGCCATACAAGAAGGCTGATCTGTCCATTAAAGAATACTCCATGTGTAAGGAGTTTGCCTAAGTCATGTAGGGCATGACTGGGGAAAGGAGACATGGCTGATATACTGTTGCGCTCCAGTTATTCCTGGCTTCTGGAATGATCCTGTAGAACCACGGGAAACTGAGTGTAATGTACAGCAGCCCTGAAGATGCTTTATGTTGGGAGGTGGGGCTGATCCCAGTCAACTCCAGAATAAGCAAAGCACCCCTCACTCCAGTTACTGTGCTCAGCCCCAACAAAGAATGGAGAATCTCTTTGTGCATACACATACCTAAATGAAAGTAAGCCAAAATGTTAGAAGAAAATAGAGGGGCAGTGAAAGTTCAAAGAAAATACTTTGATTATATAATTAAAAAAACTTGACATAAAATAGAAGACATTCTATAAATAAATAAATGGTCCCAGACTCTATGTAATTTCATAGGAAACTTCTTGTCTTCTAGGCACATTATTATTTAAGTAATTAATTCAGGACCAAAAAGCATTTTAGGTTTCTGACAAAAGGCCCCTCCAAACTCTTTGCCATCAAATTATCAAAGATTTGCAGGACTCTGTCCATAATGTGGATATGTTTCTTATTGATCCTCTAATTTAAAAAAGAGAGCTGGATAGGAAATTGTTTTCCTGTTTTTTGAACATTTTTGAGATTTCAAAAGTTTCCCCATTCTGCATTGGGATGAAACTCAGATGTTTTAAAATGCTTAATGGGAAAAAAAAAGACAGAAAGCAAGAAACCAGAATATCAAATAGCCCAGTGGTTAAGGCATTTACCTCAGGTGTAAGAGATAGAGCTTCAAGTCCTTGCTTTTCCTGATTCAGAGCAGCAACTTGAATCTGAGTCTTCCACATCCTAAGTGAGTGTCATAACCACCAAATTATAGCAGTCAGTCTCTCTCTAGCACAATACACATTTAATTATTTATACAAAATGTAACAGCTCCACTAGGAGAGACAGAGAAAGACCAAACATAGAATGGTCGTTAACCTGGCGGTTAGGTCACTCAGCTAGGACATAAGAAACCCAGGATCGAGTACCAGCTTACTTGAGGTCCCAATAGGGTAGACTCTTTCCTCCTTCTCTCTACTTTTGGCCAGAAATTCAATCCTGGACATGAGAAACCTTCTTGATCAAAATTTTGTTGAAACCAACCCTTTCCTGCAAAAAGTTTTAGTTTAGACAAATAAGCATTTTCGGACAAAAACACATTTAATCAGAAAATTCCCTGCCAATTCTATTCAATAATAGTCTTCCTCATCTACAATATGTGTGGTATAATTTCAGAAAGCTGACCTGAATCTCTATATTACAGATAAAGCCTAAAAACTGTAAACTGTCACTGAGGCAATTATATTGATTGAATGATTCCTGTCCCTTGAACTTTTGCCTTTTAAGAGGATCATTTTTGGACTTTGTGCAGATTTTATTTCCTCTTACATAAAATTATGGCCTTTATCTATTCCATTAGATGTAAGATTTAATTATATTGACACACAAGCAGGAATGTTTTATTAATCACTACATGCCTTCAGATGCTGCTGATGGAAGTTAATGTATTAATGTAAATTGTATTTTATTGTGTTCCACAGAACCAGTAAAGAACTGGCACAAATATAAAATGTGCAGATCTAAATTATAGGAACATTAATACAGAATTAAGAAGTTATATTCAATAAAATAATTTTATCTCAATCATATTTCTCACTAACTTTCACTATTAAATATTTTTATACCCTACAAATGATATACACAACCTCTTAAACAGGGTATATGTTTTCTATAACCTTAGGGGGGGTCAACCTCTATTATTCTCAACACTTATTTTACAGTCAGCCACAGCTTATATTATTCACTAGAAAAGCATATGAGAAGGTATTTAAGCTAAGAACTAATGATGACATGTAACAGAAATTTCTGAGCATTTAAAATATGAATGGTAATTGGTGAAAAATCAGTTTCTGATTTGACTGAAAAAGAAATGTGTTCTAATAAAAAGAAGAGTTTATTTAATGTTAAAAGTGAACAAGTTTATTATGAACAGTATATGACTTTACAATCAAGTTCCATTGCAAAATGAAACAGAGTTACTGGTGAATGGCTAATTAATTCTTCTTTATGGCATTTGCTTAATATTTTATACATGAATACAATAGATAATAAACAATGTGACAAGCTTATTTTTCTAGTACAGTATAGGAAGAGTACATAATATCATTCAGTGCTCCAGTCATTAAACTGTACTAGTTACACCTTTTGCTTTTGTGCTTTATATTTTGCTAGAGTATTAGACCACTAGCTTCTAAGGAGTGGACCGTTCTTAGGATTTATATATTCAATGCACCAATATATAAAATAATTAATCCTCACTATACCACTGTAATATGGTTCGATAATTATTATTTCCCACACCCCACCCCCAAGAGTGAGAGAAAAAGATGAAGTCATTTACCCGAGCCCACAGTTAGTGACAAAGTCAAAATCAGAAATGACTGATTCTCAAACCAGGGCCCATTCCTCCAGCCCATACTGCCTTCATCTCAGATCTAGTGTACACAGCTATCAAATCTGGAGCAGAAAGAGGCTGAGAAAAAGATCAACATTTTAGCTAGAAACAGAAACATACTTCCACTGACCTTAACCTTCTCCCGCTGAAGTTAGTGAGAGTTTTACCATTGACTTTAATTAAAACAGGCCATCACAGAGTAGTTTTGAAAATTCCACTTCACAAATGTAGATTTTTCTCAATGAGCAACAAGTGGATAGAAAAATACATTGTATATTGTACTTCAGAAGACCACTACCTGAAATCTGGTCAGTTATAGAATTAAAAGTAGTTTCAGGTACTGCCCATGCCCCCGAGGCCTACAGGTAATATTGTGAATTTACAACTACATTTTAACTGGTTTTCATAGAGAACTCTGATTTTTAAGTTGATAGAATACCTTTAATATTTGTCACAAATGGCCCAGTGGAAAGGAATCTTTATCAAGATGTTTCCCGCGCTGGTAATAAATCAGCAACACTAATCGTAATCAGTATTTGAATAAAAGTTTTGGTATTTAATAATAAAATATAAAAAGGGTAAACAACAACAAACTATCTGCAGGTAACTGGATAGAATGACTCACTCGGACCATGGAGTTGGCTCGGGAAGAATCCAGGACTGAAAGAACCTGTGAGAAAACTAGAGCATATGTGAATGTAGACCTAGGAACATCTTTGATTAAAGTTTGTTCTAAATGGGATTTGAATTAACTTTCTGCTCCAAGATGGGGTGTATTTTAGGGTATGAAAGTGTGAATACATGCGGACATGAGTGCATGAACACCAAATGAAGTCCACCCGAGGAAGATGGCAGAAGGTCTATTCCCCTCGTTTATATATATAGTCCTAAATCAATGCCTTGTAAAAGAGATGAATGTTCCATAGTGTGAGTCTCCTAAGAAGTTAAACTAAAACCGTCAACTTAAGTTCAAAGTGTCAGTGGTAGACTGTCATGGATAAGTTGTTAAGTAAAACTATAGAACTTCTGCTTTTCAGAAACTGTTACCAATGTCTGCAGTGTGATCTATGTTGAGGAAAGGAAGAAAAAGACCTACCACCACATTAAAGGAAATCTAAAGAGGAAGTTCTGTTCGCCTTGAGGCTTGTGATCTCAGACAGTAGATAATTTGCTTTTATTATCAAACTATTAAATCAGTTGCAATTTATATATTTGATTGACCTCGTTGAAATTTGTTAGTTGAGATTTGTGACCAAAAATACAGCCATCTCCTTGGATTTCCTTTTAGGATTTATAAGTTAAGTGTTGATTATTTGTTTTTTTAAATTTGAGGATGTAATTGATTTGATCCAATATTGCTGCTAATTAATTTGATTTAATGTCTATTGTTCTATTTATTTTAGTATTGTTAATGGAAGGTTAGGGATGTGATTCTTGATTTTAATTTTCACTGTTGTTTCATTTAGCGATATGGTCCAGAACCACTGAGAATCTGAGTGAGCTGGTCTTCCACGATCCTGATTAGTTCCCTACAAATGAACCCTTTGGCTCTCACAACTTTGAGAACCTGGCTTTTTTCAAAACATTGAAGTCAAAAATTTCATAAACAACCAGTTATTACGTGCCTAACTAGAAACTCTTTAATGGAGCCTGATCTTCAGAAAGTGCTTAGCTTCCACCCACTGAAAAATCAGGCCTCTTTGACATGTCTCAAGTCGGGCACTGAAAAACTGTGGCAACTGAAACCATAAGTTTTTCAAAAATCTTGGCCTTAATTTTTAATTTTGCATATTTCCTGATTCCATTTATTTTTAAGCTAGTTAGGATACAACTGGTGGATTACAATCCCTCCCCTCACTCGCCACTGCTGAGATTGAAATGTAATTCATCATTTGAATACTAGCTCACACATCTGTGATACTTCTCAATTTACTTCCAATCACTCATTACTCTTTTTCTTCCTTACATTAAAATCAAAACCTTAACCTCTCATTTTCCTTATCGTGGATTGGAGCTTGTCCAATCTTTCTTCTATTTAGACTGTTAATCACAGCCTTCTCCACAGGTACCACAGACTGCAGTATAATAGGCTAAAATAATGTAATATTTGATTTAAAAGATTCTATTATATGCATATAGGCACACACCAGAAAATAGATCAGCAGAGGGGAAGTCTAGGGTGGAAGTTTCTTTCCCCAAATATAAACCCACAAAGTGGTTATTTTGCAGTCACTTCATAACAGAAGGTATGGGGAGGGGTATTTTAAATGTTGCAGTAGACATGACTCCATGTTTGTGTGAACACCTCCAGGTTGACTGATGGGAAATATAAAATCAGGACTATGCAAAGTATTCACGGCCCTAAACAAATGATGTGGGGAGTGGGGGTTGGGGGGGAGGGGAAGGGTGATGTTGAAGTCTTATGCTGGAGGTGGGGACTGTGAGGTTATTGCTGGTCAAAATAAAGGTGAAAAAAATGTCTGTCCTGGCAGAATTAAACATGTTCTCATTTTGTAATGAGTTTTTGTAATAGTTTCAAGAATTTGCCCCATCATAGGGCGGACAAAAGTGGGGAGCTTTTTCACATCTCATTTGTAAATCGCACTGCAAAAATCAATGCCGTTGTGTACACCACTGTCTTCTTTCTCTTTCTCCAGAGCTGGAACACCAGGCTCACTAATAAACAGCTATGATTTAGAAGGGTATTAGCATGCAAATGAGCCACCGTGCACCTAAACACTCTATATCTAGTTTGTCAGTCATCTGAAAAAGCATATTATTGTCTGGATGAGCAAATGATTATGATGAATCCCAGAATTTTATTTTATTTTATGTGCTTTCCATAATCTTACATTTACAATCTTACATTTACACAAATATGACAAGTTGCTCCTGTTCTATGGCTAGAGTGTGAAATTCTTGAATCCCACATAGAGCCCAAGTTATCAGGCTTTAGGTATCTGTGCTAAACAGGAACTGAGCTATCTGATGCATAGACCACCTGTCTTGGCCAACGTTCAGTGTTCCTTTCTGGAGCCCATGTGGAGTCCACAATGGCACCATGCAAGACCATTTCTCCCATATTGTCTCCATCCCATCCAATCACACACACACAAGGACACACAGGAGTTCCACAGGATAAAGCCTTTTTGTGCCTCTCCTCTTGCAGGAGTGTTTCATCCACACAAACGACTTCAGGCTTTCTGGGTCTGAGAATGCAGCATACTTCATAGGCACTGGTATTAATCATCCATCAGCCACCACAGCCTTGTGTATAAAAATGTTAAGAGAATCTCAGGATTATCTCAGAAAACAGACACAATAAAAAATGGTAATGCCTCTTCCTCA